TTTTTTAAAAATGAAAATAAATTAATAAAATAAATATAGACAGTTTGTTGTAGAAGTGAGTTGAAATAATAAGCTTAAAAAGGCATTATTTTATCGTCTGATTGCAGCTAGATCCCTAAGGACCCACACACACGAACAGATAAAGATGTTCAATTTCATGAAGAAAAGCGCCGGCGATGAAGAGAAGGAGCGTCGCAAGCGCGAAAAGAAATTGCGCAAAGAGGCTAAAGGTGGCAGCGGGGGCGGGGTGACTGGCAGCATGAGCACCGATGAACTGCTGCGCCTGGAGGAAGTGCGTCGATCGCTGAAGATACGGGGCCGCCGCAAGGAGAAGGAAAAACTGCCCAGCGGCATAACAGCGGACTACAGTGCAGATTTCTTTGCGGCCCTCAATGCCGATGCAGCCAGCGGCAACGCGAACGGAAATGGGAATGGCAATGGAAATGGAAATGGCGGCCCAGAGCAGGATCGTGGCAATGAGGAAATTGTAGCATCTGTGATGACACATATCGAGAGTCGAAGCGCCGCCAACGAATCTCTTATCTTGAACTATGGCGAGGTTACACATTCCCTGCTCTCGGGCGGACTGAAGGTGAGCATGCTAAGTCGAAGTTGATGCTTCTGAAATGTAATTACAATTATGCTGACAGAATCGATTTTTGCCGCCGGTGCCGCCAAAGCCGCCCAAGCGTGGCATTTTGAAGGGTTCGCGCAGCAACATGAGCAACGTTCACGAAGAGATTGTCTTCACCGGTGGCGGCACTCCCGAAATGCTGATGCGCAACACCATGCAAAATGAGCAGCTGTTTGAGGGCAACCGTGGCGGCGGCAGCGGTGGCTCCAATTCCAGCCAACATGGCACCTCGTTCACCTCCGTGGAGAGCCTGCGCAGCGACGGCGATCATCCGCCGCAGCAGCGCGCCATGACCCTGCCGGCGAACGCGCGCTATGGCGCACCACAGACGCCCACGCAGGCTGCCCATTTGCATGTGCTGACATCACCGTCACCGAGTGCCGACAGTCTCACAGATACCACAAACTCCTCCTTTGCCACGCCTCCATTCTCGCTGAGTCCAGTGGGCGAATCGCAGGGCATCGATCGCTGGGCCCGTGTGCACGCCTTTGAGGATGTGCAGCTGCCATTGCCACCGGTCCAGCTGGTGCAGCTGCCGCCGCCCAGGCAGCTGGTCATCAAACGGCAGAAATCCCCGCGGCATGACTTCGGGTTCAGTCTGCGCAAAGCCATTTGCTTGGACCGCACCGAGTCGTTGATGTCGCCCATTTTTCGACCAGTGATCTTTGCGGAGCCTGGTGCTGGGGGTGGCGCCACGGGTCTGCTGCCTGGCGATCGTTTGATCAAGGTAAATGGCACACCCGTGGGCGACTTATCGCGCGAGATCATCATCGAGATGATACGCAATAGTGGCGATGCTGTCACCGTCGAGGTACGCAAAACACTTTACAATCTCATGACATTCACACTCACGACATTCCTCTCTCTCCGTGTCCTTCACGTATCTAGGTGCAACCCGTAGCTGAGCTGGTGGAGTTGAGCAAGCGCTGCATGGCGCCCAGCACGGCCACCGTTGAAGAGATCGATCATTCCATTAACAACGGCAACTGCAACACACTCCGTCGCAGCGCCAGCAAGCGCTTCAAGCGTCAGGTAAGACAACAACTCATATTCCCATCTAAATCCATTAGCAACMCAGTGATTAATGAAAGTTKTTACCTGGAATAGCAACAATATTATAATCACTCGTAATCGTTCATTAATCATGTAATTTCGATAGAATTAAAGCTCTGAGCGATCAAGTGGCGAGCAAGTTGGCTCAGTAATTTCAAACAGAGTTGACTGTTTCAAATAGGATTCCTTCTAAATATCTACTTACCTATTATAGAAGCTAACAAATATTCCATGTTTCTTTGAACCCATCTAAATTGGAGTCAATGAACCAACAAAGTAATTAACTATTTTTGATGGCTGTTCTAAATTTTATATTGATAACAAGCATTAATAAGCAATTTCTTATTAAGGCTGGTCAGGTATTAGTATTATCTTGAATAGGTCAGCACCAGCTGATAAGATTGTATTTCGTTAATTCATTATATGCTTATACGTTTATGGAAGATTAGTTATTTATCAAATATTATATTATTAACAAAATACTTTTTTAGCTTTTAAAAACTAGTTTTTATTTAACAATTAATTTGATTGCATTTATCGTAGAGAATTTTACCTCTATAATAACATTCATCTTCGAAATTGGTCCAACTTATGCTAGGGTATTTTATTTTCAGAAAAGTAATGTAAACTAGGTTTTTTTTTCTTTCAATGTGGGAATCACGTTGGAGTGGTCAGAAAAAGAGTGTAAATATGTATTCAAGAAAATAAATATTTGCTGTTTAATTTGGGGTTTACGTGATGATGATGATGATGCTAGACAGAAAACGCAACGGCGTATTTTAAAGCTCAGAATGTAAAATCTAATGGCAAAATATCGATCTGTTTTTCTATACAGGGTAACTAGCTATCGAGCAATAGCAATTGCAATTGCGATTCCAGTTGAAATTCTTATTAACTTGTTGACTTTAGCTGCAGCTAGAAACGTGTTTCACATTTTTCCCTGTGTTTATCTTTTGCAAATATGTTGTAAAAATTGTCAGCACCTGAGCGATCGAACGAGCGATCAGTCGCTGAGAAATTCCAGACCCAGCCCGTTGCAGTTATATAGCTAAGCCCCATTCCAATTAGAACATGGTTGTTGTTGTTGCTGTCTGGCTAAGTT